GCAGGTCAAGCTGGCAGTTATACCTCATACAGTGATGGAGTATATAATAATGAACGTGCCCATTCTGCTCTTTCTTTGGATCATAGAAGAGATTTTTACCTCTGATCTTAAGCAACAATGTTCTAAGTTTCTCTGTCAGCAAATAAACGAGGCCAGCCTTAAAGTATATGCACTTCTGCTGGCTGCAAATAATGCCTGGCACACAACTGTGATACTTCCACAGGAAGCCTTTGGGATCATTGCTATGACTACCATGCTAACATTAAATTCTGAATATGTCAATTGTGAACATAATATATACTTATCATCTCCAAGGTCCTTATTGAACATGCACTCTCACTGATGGTTCATGAAATTACTACTATAATTATTTCTGAAATTTTCACAATGACTAGGAAGACGGTTGTCTGTAGTTTACAATGCTATTTTGGAACCAAAAGAAACAGTAAAAAAGGAAAGGTATTATTTTTAAGGAAACAGAACCTTCAATATGCTTTCAAACAATTCTATAGTCAGAGGCCTGGAGTTCAGCTTCTTTATTTTGAGTGCTAATATCAACAGAGATCAGTATTTAGTGCACCGTCTGTTGAAAAGAGATGTAATTTAATATTTGTGATTGACACGTCAAACTAAGGCATTAACAGCTCAGAATGTTTGCATCTTTTTATGAAAACAAGTTAGATGCCATTTTCTTTAGTAGTTAAGACAGATATTTACTAAAACCTGCTACTTTTAGACACAGCAGAATCTTCATAGACAGAGAATGTGCAGAGCAGGTCCAAACTGAAGGAAGCACAACCACTGAAACATTTTAAACTTGATAAAATTATTGGTACATGATAAATACTACAGTCTAACCTCATAATTTCTATCACAATGAAAGCACTTTCTTCTCCTTTTTTCCTTTTAATTTATTTTATTTTTTAGCACAATTATTTATTGTGGAAAAGAGCCATTTGTTAGGTCTTTAGGAAAAGTGCATAAATCCTCCACCTACAATACAATTGTTGGGAACATTACTCAAGTGCAGATCAGGTAAGCAAAGTTGCTTCAAAGATAATCACTGAAATGGAAGTAAGAGTAAAAATGGTCAAAGAGCCTTTAACATACATGTCCTAGGCTCATTTTTACACCACATCAAGGTCATGCCTATTTCCAGTTCCCTAAATGGCCACAAGTCTCTACGCTTCTATATTTCAATTCTTCAATAAAATGGGAAGTATTTCCCTACAGCCTAGTAAATTAAAATTATGAAAGAATTGGATAAAATATTAGCAGTGGCAAAATAAATATTTTTAAAAAATATGCGTCCAAATGTCACAAAGCAAGACACAACTGATCATGTTGAGAGCTACTCTGGATAACAGTGTTGTACAAAGACAGGAAGACCTTTTCTTTCTCTTCCATGTAATTTCTTCAGCAACACGTGGGTACAGATTTTTTTCCTTAATTTTTTTTCTGTTATATTCAAGTCAGTCTGTAGTGTGACAAATTGTAATATAACTATACCTTTTTATTTCCTATTCTTCTACTTAAAATAAAAGAGGTAAGAACTGCAGAGATTTAGCCTATTTGCAACCCACTCTCATGACACATTTTATGCAACCAAACTAAAGGGATTAGAGGAACAACCTTTCCCCTCAAGTAATTATGCAGAAGCTTTTCAAGAACACTTTGTTATTCTATAAATGCAGTTTAAATGACATTCTAGAAAAACCCTTGGAGCACTTCTTATAGTGACTTTTGCTATTAGGCAATACCTATGACATGCATTGCTAAACTGAATATAAAATTTATATCTACAAGTCACCAGCAATAGTCAGGAGTATTAGAGCAGTTCTTTTGGAACAGATTTGTTTTTGACAGATATTTCTACCACAAACTTCAGAAGAAGAAAAAAAACCCTTCCATACACTATGTAAGCCCCTATTTAGTATTAAAACTCTGGCAACGCTATTTTTTTGAAGTGAAGGATACTTTTAGAAATGTGGATTTTACTATTCCACACAACATCTCAAATCACTTTCATTATGCATCTGTGTGGATACGTTTGAAACTGCAATAGCACTGTTTGCTGTCACACTACTGGAAAAATAATAATAATAATAATAATAATAATAATAAAAAACCCCACTAAAATGCCTGCTACCTCCCTTTCTATGTGTTTGCAGCTGACTAGCTACTCAAGATATAATCCTGTGGCCATTTCAGAATCAAAGTGCATTCAGATCAAAGTAGTTTATGAGAAATCACTGATGCACCTACTGGGTTCTGAGCTGCAATTCCACAAGGCATCATTTTTATTGAAGATGGTGAACTATATTATCACCCATCTCAAGGAAGATAAGGTTGTTTTCTGAAGGTTTACTGTGTCTGCCATAGCTTGTTTGATTAACTTAATTTGATTCCGCAAATAGTTGAAGAAATACAGCAAAATAAAGCATCTTCACATAAGACATTAGATCTTATGAATTCATATTAACAGCAAGACATTGTTAAAAGGACTAATTTTTGCAGCAATGGAAAAAAAAGCCATAAGGAAGCCATCCATTTCTGACACAAAAATATTACTGCTTGTTACGTATTACTTACGTATATATTATATGTAAGCACACACATGTAAAATCTTAATATTGTCCAGAAACATCAGTACTAAATTAACGGCTTGGTTTCCAGAAAGTCAGCCTTGCAGGATTAGCAGTTCCTCTATACTGGGCATGTGAGTCTGTTCTTAACAGTCCTGTGTACCAACACATCTGTGATCAGAAATGTACAGATGCAAGACTCAGAGGTTTTGCACCAGAGTTGAAATCTGAAACAATCTTCCAGCAGAAGATATGCTGGGCTTAGACTAGGGCACTATATTTCTGTAAATACAATATTTTTAATCTTCAGGAGCACAAATCCACCCTGATGATTCTGCCAACTTCTGTCTCCATCCAGACAAAAACACAGAAGAAAGCTAATCTTTATTTCTATTCAATTACAAAGTAATTACTTATTAGCATTACTAATTCCATGACTAATCTTAAAATTAACCCCAAATCACTGCTATAAAACAACCAATAGAGTAGTATAGACTCATTATTAGAGTAAGCTATCTCCAAAATTAAAAAGTTTTCCATTTTAAATTAGGAGTGATGTATCATTTAATATTAGAAATCACTACATTATTTTCAACACCCTGTATCAAGAAAATAAATTTTAAAAAGCACAACAGAAACAGAGTGCCATAGGACATGGAAGTGAACCTGGGAAAAGTACTCTACAATGTGAGTGGAAGCAGCTTATATTAGAAGACTCTTTGAAAACTGGGAACAGGTATTAATCACTTGCTGTAGGGGAAATAGTCCAGACATACTTTTAACCTGTCATGCAGTCTCCAGGGCTCTGCGATCCCAGAGGCTGACCCATCCTCAGTTTTGCCCAAAGGACCCACTCACCCAAAGTACACGGGTGGGACTGGCCTCTGCCAATGTCATTTTAATTTGCGGGCCCTGACGCATCTACCAGTAAACTGGAGTCTTGAAACTTTTGTCTTTCAAATCCTTACTCCAACTCAAACGTTAAACCTAAGCTTAAGTACAGCTAGGGAATATCTGAAATAAATGAGGACCTACTCAGCTATCTGCAAGAGCTTCTCAGTGCAGAGCTGTTACCTAAAAGTAAGTTCAAAACCCACAGCACTCTAACCCACTTTACAAATACTTGCCTGAAGTGAAGCACTACCATGTTTACTCTGCACTGACAGCACCCACATGGCGCATAAATTCTGAGCAGCCAGTGGACTGTAAAGTCAGGCTTATTTTACTAACGTAAGTGCAATCTGACATTTTATTTGAAAGATATGGAAGATAATTAATGCAACTAAATTATCAATGAATCAGACGTTAAAATACTAAAAGATTAAGTTTAGTTGATAACAATTCAATCTCCCCCAAAATTATAAATAATAGCCAGTGTAAAGAATTTGAAGATTAAAAGCTAGATTTTTTTATTAATGCCTGTAGTGATTTAAGATAGTCTCTATTTATGCCAAATACCTAAGAGATTGTAGAAATAAAGGAACACAGACTTCAGCCCTGTGACTTTTATTGAATAGAAGTATCTTCACAAAGCCTCTATCTGCCTAGATAAGACACATTGTAACAATTAACTGAGCAGTTTTAGCAAATAACTTCTGGCTTGTTTCAGAATAATCTGTTTTCCCTAGAAATTATTTCAATAACTTTGAATTTAAACTGGAGAAACCCATGGAAATAATATTTTACATAATCAAAAATGGAAGCAGCATAACAAGAGCCTATCTTGTCACATGTGCATCTGCTGTACGTAAACCACTCCTCCGCTCAGAAAACATCATAACTTGTTGCATTCTGATTAGTTTTTTAATGTACAAAGTCAGCAAAAAAGCTGTTCCAAGTTACTTAATGAAAAGTGTCTTCTGTTTGCTGCAGATCATTTCTCCAAGCCTTAGTTACATTTGAAAAACAAGTGTTCACACAAAAAAGTGTGGTATCAAAGAGAAAAAAAATCCACATTAAAGTTGTAATTTATGGATATTAAAAAAAAAAGAAATCTCAAACATCATATATGAAATCAAGTTAAAATATAATTTAAATAAATAACGTTTTTCAAATTTATCCTTTCCTCTAAAATAGTCCAAAGCAACTAGTCTTTAGTTTGGATTATTTGCCTACTATGAATCCATTCTGAATTGAAGCTGGCTTCATTTATTTGACAGGGCAAGACCAGCTGACATCATTAACTTCAATTCTGTTTTATTCCTACCACTTGAAAGTCAACAAATTTGGGTGGCTTGGTTCTTGCTTTACTTTAATTTTTATGGCTGACTAGAACCCTGAAGATGCAGCTTTACAATGGGAAGATAACCCAGACAAATTATAGGAAGGCAGTTATAGGAGACAAAGCATAAGTTTATTTAATAAATTTGACTAAAACATTGGGGATGGCTCAACGATTATTCCATATTCACTTACTTCAATGTCTCTTCCAGTTTGCGAATTTTCTTTTGAGCATCCCCTCTTTCTTTATCAAGATCATTCCGGATGCCATGAATCTACCATTTGAAGGAAAAAAAATACCATATTTTAGCTAAAACAAAGTCTGATTTTAAAAAATGTTATTTTAAATTATAAAAACTATTTATTTTGCATATTTCTTTTGCACTGATGTAAATAACCGTCTATATATTTTCAAAATTACATAAAATGCAATAAGGATTAACGAGGAGATGAAGTAGGAGAATACAGCAAATAGAGCTATTTTTTCTCCTCAAAATGAATATTATTCTCTAGAATAAAGAAATATCAGTAATTACATAAAAAGGAACTAGATTTTCTTTGGATAAATACAGGAAAGCATCTAGAAATCTGCCTAAAATGATGATATATATTCTCTATGGTGCAGAGTTCCTACTTACCAAATTGTAAATACCCAAAGTGGACTACTTTTTATCAGTTCTTACAACAATAAAAATACCAAACATAATGATAGTAAATAACATTACTTTAGAATAACACATACTCAAACATTAACTAGCTGAGGGTAGATACTCCTAAGAAAAGTAAAACTTTGAGGAAAAGTGGTTTACTCCTACTGAACTCCTGACCCGGTGAAATCAAATCAGAGTGCTTGAATCATCATATAAAACTTCTCATTCTTCCATTTTGCATCCAGAGATTAAAAACGCCATTTGGAAATGCAGGGGTATGGCATTCTTGTATGACTGTACAACTACCAAACCCACAAAAAGCACACAGACCCCTCTAAAATGATAGAGCATCTTAGCTAACAATTATTATTCCATAGTAAACTGTGACCACATGCTGCTTATAATTACAGTGCTTATATTATCCAGAAGAATAAGTCAACTGTCACCCCAATGGATGCGGCAAGAAATCAGTCCTAGCGCAACCTGAAAGCCTCTGCATCCTCGCACAACAGAAAAGAGCTGCCCTCGTCATCCTCCTCTCTCTTCCCCTTCATCTCTTATCTAGATCAGCATTGGTATATGTGTTCGCTTTGAATAACCTTGCAGTATAAAAATCTTCCGCATCACCGAACATGACCTCAGTACACAGGAGAGGATCATAACTGTCTAACATCACGGGATCCCACACGTCTCTCCATTTTCATCTGCTCAGCCATGCTGCTTAACCATCTTCCTTTCCATTTCCCCAAGCAAACTGCGCATTTCCAAGTAGATCTCCTCCGTGCAACTGCCATTACACCAGGCAGTATGTATACACACATATTTTGAAAGACATTTGCACACGGAAGTGAGACAAACAGATCTCTTACATAAATAACCTAAAAATACTCGCTTACAAAAAACTTTGAGGCCCTTTAATTCTCCTCTAAATATTTGCATTCTTCCCAGTATATTTTAGTTACAATTTAAATTTGAAATACTATTTTAATTCCTATCAGTATTTAATCAATGCAGAATGAAAATGGCAACTTTCAAGACCTCACAAAGAACACATCCTAGCAATCTGAGAAATTGCTTCTCTCCCTATAATATAAAGCAATATAGTCGCAAAAAACATTGAACAAAAGCTGACTCCCACTTCCTAAATTCACTAATCAGAAATAGCCATTTTTATGAAGAATTCTTTTCTCTGGTACTTCTGGATCAAGACAGGAAAGTAGCTTCAGAATTTGGCAACCTCCCAGGCATGGTCCAAACCATGGGTTTCCATAATGGTTTGCTGCTGAAGGCAGATAAGTACAAGAGTTTGTTTTGCTTTTAGGATTGCTCAAGTAACAATGTGGTGATGTGAGGTACTCGGCATGTTTTTCTTTACCGGATGGGGAGCACAGGAAATCCTTTATTCACCTACAATCATTTGCAATGTTACATGCTATTAAGTCACTACGATGAAGAAAAATGTATTTTAATAAGTGTTTAGCCAGAAGCATAAGAGTATAGTCCAATAAAAAAACAAATTTAGAGATTCTCTACTGTAAGCAGTTCCATGTGCGTGTTTACTACATGGAAGTCTGAATACTTAGTTTGTTTGAAAGAGCCTCCAAAACCTATTGTCTGTCCATCAGAGAGTAAAGATAAAGAAGGTATTGCCAAACCTGGTAAAATTATATGTATTTAACAGCTGGCTCAAGAATGGCTCTCAGGAATAATCTGTCACTGTTCTTATGCTTAGCTGAATGTTTGGAAAACAAGCGGTAGATTATTTATAAAAAGCAGGTGTTTCCTTCGCTTGTAAAACCATTTAGCCTAACTGGTTCCTGATTCAGCAGATAAGCACATTTAATCAAACAGTGACATTTAGGGTTACTACCTATTATTTGTTTGATGTTTAAATATCCTAGCAGGCAATAGCCACTGTAGACTAATAAAGATTATTAGATAATGGGTAGGTTCTTAAGTGAACAGATTGCACCAGAGACTTCATGATTCCTTTACTTGAAGGCAAGCTTGTTTTAGTATTTTATGGGCCAATCTACACTATTTTATGGATTTATATCCATACATTGTTCACGTGTATTTTTTCTCCTCCTTTCTCAAAGATTTGATTTAAAAAACACAGTTATATCAAAATTTATGAATAAGCAAACTGCTGTAAATTTATCTATTAAAAATAAAGGGCCTACTTTCTTGTTTACTGATACGGAGTTTAAACTTCAGTATCTGTGCTTACTGGTGTAGAGTGATCGCTGACATGCTCTTAGCCCATGCTAACGATCCTCAAACCTCATTCAAGATTCACACAGGACACGCACCACTGCATAAAAGTAATACAGAGGCATCCACCTTACTGTCCAGAATCATAAAGTTTAATAGCGTAGATGTGAGCCATTTAATGGCACTTGGACATTACCAGCCACATTTAATCTGTACTTATCTGCACAGGAAGCGATGTATTGCAATAAACCAATGTCCACTATACTTCAATAGCTAGAAGATATCAAAATTATGCTAATATATTTTTATTTAGACCTGCAATATTATTCCAATCCTATGCTTTTCTTGAGGCCGATGTTCATAAAAACCATGACTTGTCTAAAAAGACAAATACAGGCTAAGATTAGACCAAAACATATCTCGGAATGAAAAAGTATTTGAATTTAAGTCCACAGAAGGCACGAACTCCAACCAAAAACTCACTGCAATTCATGTTGCAAATGCTGTTACCAAGTGACAAGTAGCTATGATCACAATTCATTATTTTATAAATTTGCCACACTTGGAAATGACACATTTGAGTAGCATTCTTTCAATTAAATAGGGATCCAACGCACCCTCTTACTAAACACTGCATGAGTTGAACATATAAAGTTGCTAAAATTGAAGTTTAATTTGAAACCTAGTGATGTTTAAAGTCTAAAAGAGCAGGCAGTATTTGGAAAGTGCTTCAAGATGAAGTGTACCTAGAATCAGAGGTGATATCTCTGTACTTAAAATAGCTGTACTTAAAATCTTCCTTGAATTTGTCCAATTGTTTTTCCAACCCATGTGAAATGCTTGGATTCCAAGATTTAAACCTTTAGCTTCTGTATACAACAAAATTTGAAATGGGCTAAGATGATATATTTCCCTGAAAACGTTACCTGTTTCTCATATACACGCTCCAAGTGAAGTTTGTCCTGTTGAAGCTTGTATTCTTGATCCTGCAAAGGAAAATATGTGTATTCTAAATAGACAAATCACATTTTTCTTTCATTTCAAAGCAGTCGTTAAACACACACACACATTTGCTACTATATAGAACAGTCCATAAAAATTAAAAATCCATTTTATATCATCATTAAAAAAATTTGACATATAAAAAAATAAAACCAAAAGCAAAAATATCCACGCAAAAAAAACCCCCAAACCAGCTATCTCAAAAGTCATGACTCATGTTTTCTAAAGAGAAAAAAGCAACTTGTTCTCCTGAGCTATTAAAATGCCATTCTGTACCACAACAACTGTGAAATGAAAGACACAGGAGGAAAAATAGGTGCCAAAACTCAAACCAGGATTGATACATGACACAGATGTGTAACTCATTATCCTGAGATAGAAGAATTAACGCCTATGGGAAAATGGAATATTGAACTGAACTGTTAAAAAGCAAGAAAAATAAAACAAACTTTTCAACTTACTTAAAAATGTTTGCACTTTAGAAGAAAAAGATACTCGGAATTCTTCGACATGCTTCTCTATAGTCCACTGATACATGTTTATACTGTTTTATCATGTGAATTACAACAGTGAAAAAGTTCCTGTGAAAATTATGCTCTTACCCATAAAGTGATCTCTTTTAGTCATACTTTCTAAATCAACCTTTAAGCATAAGGTGACACTATATACTTCTATGAATAAAATACATATAAAGATGCATGTTATGTATAAGTGCTTTTTAGTATGGCTACCTAAACATTCAAATCACTGGAAAAAGTAAAAAAAGAAGTAAGAAATTCAGGGCTCACCCTCTGCTGTTGCTGTCTTTGATGTTCTGAATCTTGTAACTGTTGTTTTAATAGAGACACACTATGCTGTAATTCTTCAATCACATCAGATGCCTGTGGGGATTTAACAGAAAAAGGAACTTTTGTGTTGCATTCCTCATTAGCTTTACAGATACATCTTTTGCATTTTTAAATTTATTTCTCAAAGGTGCCTGGAAATCAGAAAAATTATCAACTTGGGGAAAAAAAAACCCTGTATGAGTTTACAACTCCAGATACATCACTTTTGTGTCTGGTTAACTTAGAAATGTAAACAAAACCACAAAAAAATAACTATTAATAAAAAAAAATCCTTGGCACTAAGAATCAAAAGAAAAATATCTTGTAAATTAAACTAAGTAAAGTATCACCAAAGCTCCTAGAATTCCAGTAAATAAATGCAGAAGACCCCATTTGTCCTACAGCTCTAAGGATTAGCAGATGGTATTCAAAACATGAGCCTTTTCTACAATTATTTAACTTGAAAGTTATGTTAAATATATACTATATATCTACCTATGCATATTGGTAGATATCAACCTGATAGATGTTTCTACAGAAACAAACCAGAATTATTACATTTTGGGTGGAATGTACAGTTGCAGAATTTAAAAATAATTTCTTAAACACATAAATTTTTAACATAATGTTCCATATTAAGGGGCCTGCAAGACAGTTTATTTCTAGAAAAAATACCTTCCCTCATTGAAGAGGCCTTATGAAAACATTAAGTCTTTAAGTGTGCTGAGGTCCTCTGGTATTCAGAAATTTTACAGACGCACAAACGAAATCAGCATATTAATTGTACCTTATCTGAATCAGCTATGGAAATACACACCATAATTTATCAGTCAACTTCAGATGATTCTTCAGTCAAATTTGGGAGTGAAAAATTAAATCACAATTTTTTTTTTTTACACTTATGCACATGAGTAATTTGGGGAACTGAACAGTTCCTTGGATTTATTCATAAGCATTACATTTATATTGAGGAGACCACTTAAAAAATAAACAACATTTTAATGCCTATTATATGTGGAAGCATACCTTAGCTGCAGAGAGAGCATGTTCCTGCTTTATAAAATTTATATCAACATCATATTTACTTTGTAGTTGCTGAATGTTCTCCTCATATTCCTGTATAATACGGTCCTTGTCCTTCTGAAGTGAGCTCTGCCTACAAGTAGGAAGCAAACAGATTATGGAAATTACTTTCATATTTTGGCATCTTACCTGCTCAGTATCAATTCTACAGAGTACACAAGTTTGCCTGTACCACGTGCTCATTGTAACAGAATGAAATGCTTATGAATAGTGGAAAGATAACATGCTCCTTACGATGGTCGTTTGGGTCAGTTTCAAAATGAGTTTTACACCAATTAATACATTTTTGTGACAATTTTCTAATGCCAATTGCCATTCATTGAGTTCTTGAAATAAAATTAATAAATGTTTGCTTTCGGAAATTCCATATTCTTCAATGTTAAAACCAGCAACTGCTATTTAATTACCTTGCTTTCACTTCCTGAAGTTCAGAGCATACCGCCTGGTAACGTTGTTCTGCATCAGTCTTTTCTTGAGATAATTTTTGACGCTGTAAATTACTATTTTCAGCCTCAACAGTCAACTGCTGGACACGAGCCTCCAGTTTTTTGACCGTCTGGTTCTAAAAGAATAGTTCATTGTTGAGAAACCACCAGAATAAATTAGGGTATACCCCTGTTGTTACTCAGTAGCCTAGAGCAACAAGGTTCTTTGGTGGTCCAGAGACACAAGAGTTACAATAGCAAAGCTGTCATCAATCATGACAGTAAATTCTATGTTGTATATAAAAAAATAAATAAATCTTCAAAATATGGATGTCTATTCCCCCCGCCCAAAGTAACATGTCTTCTCCCCTAAGCAAAACAATATGTGCAACTGATTACTAAACTACAAATCTTTTAAAATGAGAGAGATGACAGATATTACTATAGAAAACTGTAATGGATGTTAATACATGGAAAGCATTTTTAGATCTTCCATTAACCAAAAAGCGTGCTACTAGCAATATGTACAAACTACATGTGGAAAAAGAGTATTTGAGTAAAAAAAAGAATATATATGTGTGTGTGTGTATGTATACCTATATATAAAGATTTTACTGAACATTATGGTGATGAGCAGCTATAAGTCAGCTAGAAAACATATTAAACTGTATAGCATCAAGTGAAATCTGTAGCTCATTCATGCTAAAATAGTCTTCCGAATACTTTTACAACCATCATATGTTTACAGACATAAAATACATATATATAAACTTTTTCAACTAAAACAAGGAGCAATGCATTTAGGTTTCTAAAGAATTATAGATTTGAAACAACTGCCTTTTCTGTGCGCACTTTGGCAAAACCATATCCAAGGATGTAAACAATAAGATACAGTAATATCTGCTACAGATTTGGAGCATATAAGAACATTATAATACAAATGCTACATTAACAGCGTGAATGCTATCTAGTTGTATTTCAAATCAATTAAAAACTACTAACTAAATAATTCACTAATCATCTTGTAAGATAAGTATATCATCTCCATTTTGTTAATGGAAAATGGAGGCACACAGAGAAGGAAAGTGTTGTGCACAGAAATACAGCAAATCCATATCAAGACAGAGAGTGCATTCCTCTGGTATACCTTTCCCTAATCCACTTCTCCAAATCATTGGTTTAATTACAGTGACTTCTGTTCAATAAATTAATTACAAACATCTATCAAAAGTTGTATCTTTTTCCCAGAACTTCATCTCCTAATATAAACAATTTTAAAAGTGAGCAGAGTGGGAACAGGCAGGTAGCACGAGACTACTCTACTAATTCCCACTCTTCCCTAAAGTTATGTTGATGTGCACGGAAATGAGAGAACTCCTCAGGAGGCTGGAGTCGAAAAAATAAGACACAGCTGTCCTTCCAGGATGTACGTATCATAGTTATTTTTATATTAACAAAGGTCCAAAGATGAGGGAAGTGGAACAGTATTTTCACCCTCTGTTAAAGTAAAATAAAAACTGAAACATCTGCCATCTCAAGTCAGTGCCCCAACTGTCACAGAATCATTAAATGAGCCTGAACGAATGCAAGAACATCCCATTGCCAGAATGCTCACCTGAACTTTGTCAGCTGGCTTAAGATGTTTCACAAACAGAGTACAGCAAACTTTTCCATCAATGCAAAGCCAGCTGCACAGTATGGGTTGTTTGGGTTTGGGGTTTTTTTTTTGTTTTGGGTATTTGGTTGTGGGTTTTTTTTATTGTTGGGGGTTTTTTTAGGGGGGGGCATTGTTTGGGGGTTTTTTGTTTGTTTTTTTAAGAACAACAACAAAACAAAAAACAAAGGAAAAAAGAAAAAAAAAAACCAAAGAAAAAAGTCATACCTAACATATCACCAAATATCATAACTCCTCCCTGGCCCCCCACCGCTCAAGGAAGTCAATACTTGTTCAGTGCACAAAACCCCACTTATCAGTTCTATGGTATTAGTTAAATTGTTCAGCCAATTTCACTTGCTAGCAGCAATGGCATTTTTGACAACGTGAAACTCTGAACAAGGAAACTCTGAAATACCAACCAAAATAAAAAAATCAGGAGAAAGAAAGAAAGAGGGAAAAAAAAAGAAAACTAATTTCCAGTGACAGTCTAGTCTTTCATCTTAAGCCCTGCCTTGAACTCTACCTTGTTTAATTATTAAATCAGAAGCTGCTCAGCAAGATCTGTCTAGTTTTGATGGTTCTTAAATTCAATCTTGCTGACAGACTGTGTCCATTTTTCTCTGTATTTACTGTTACCTATGACATGATCTGAATGCTAATTTTTAAATTCAACATTCATTAATAAAGGAATAAATTTTGCTTGACATTGTCTTTTCACTCATTCAATTTTCTTCATACTTCATCCTGATAAAAAGTACAGTATGCTTTCTTGAGGATATTTGTTAATTTTTTTGCTTTTTACATCATTTACACGGCAGGCACAAAATTCAGATTACACCTGCTTACATGTTTCTAATTATTGTAGGAAAGAAAGGCATACATTAGAATAATACAACAGTTATTTTAAATATCTTTTTTATTTAATCTTTAATCTAAGAGAAGCATTTGATCATTCGAAGAAGAGGTGGGTAAGTAAGAAGTCACATGTATCCATGAAAATAGATGTACTATATAAATCCTTTTTTATAGTCTACAAACCTACAGAGACAAAAGTTCTGCTAACTCAAATCAAATACAGTGAGAAATGCTAGAAACAGTCCTTCAATACAAATACATATCTGTGTAATATTCATTGAAGGGCTGTACTTTGATGAATTTTATCCAGGGGCAAAAATCCTTGGTTGGACTGGCTGCCAGGATACTGTTCTCTTCCAAGGTAGAACAACTGCATTGCAGTACCAAAAACATTTCTCAGCCTAACAGTATTTATGTACACTTTTGCACAAATGCATGACATTTGAATACTGCAAGAGACACTTGTTGTCATGACATATTTACAAAAAACTTACAGTTGACTTTATCTGTTCCGAATAATCTTCCTCCATTTTGCTAAGACGAGCATTGGTGTCCTCCAGCAGTTCCTGCATATCTTCTGTGTGCTTCTTTCGAATGTTAAACTTCTCCTTCTCCATCTCAGCCACAGCATTGTGAAGCTGCATCACAAAAATATTACCAAATAATGAGTGGCATATAAAACTAGCATTTTTAAGTATTATATTATTATAGTACATAAATAGAATAACTAACAAGCGCAGGCAACATTTCTGTCCTCTGTAACAAAACTAGATCATTCGCTCACTGATTAGGTGTACTATGACTCTATAAAGTGGTAATTTAGAAGTCATTTAAAAATGTATAGTGGACATAACTTATCTATGCAGAATACTAAAACACATACCTATTTTTGCCATTCTCTGCTATTCTATTTGTTTACATATTTAAACTGACCACCAATGACTGTTGCACAAAAATTAATTATTTTCTATTACAGAAACACTAACACTCTCTCCAGATACTTACACTGCCAGTTTATCTGCCTGTCACTTTGTAAGAAGTTGGACAGCCTTGACTATCTACTTGTCAAATGAAAGGCTTATTTGTGTCATTACTAACTCTTGATTTATATTCTGAACACAAGTGGCCTCCCTTTCTAGTTAAACAGCCTCAAATATAAATTTTCTGTCTGTACAATAGTGACATGACATTATTTGTTAAATTACCATACAAAACTTCTATGGTGTATTGGTTGTATAACAGCTATTATGTATTTCTCAAGTTTCTAACAAATCCATTTCACAGCTGAAGGAGAAAGCTGCCATATACAAAATAAAAGCATCACTCTAAACACACTGCTAAAAATCAGGTTAATTTGCACAAGTATGGATTTTTTTCTCTCCAACATATAGACTAGCAAAATCATGGAGGTGTCTGTGAATCCAGACCATTATTTAACAGACTTCAACAGTGTGCAGTAACTTAACAAAATTTTTCTTCCAAAAGGTAAGAATGCTAATAAATTATTATTATAAGTATCACGTATATACTGTCATGTTCAGAAGATTTGCTGAATTTGAGAGCCTTTAAAAAATAATCTGGGAAAATAAATAAATAAATATTTAATCTCCAGGTGCATTAAGATATAAATAAAACCAAAAAATTTTGGGAGTCTCTACCTCCTGTACAACAGACTGTAGTAATATTTGCATTATTGTCAGCAACATCTATTCAAATAACCTGCATCTATTCAAATTAAAAAATACACAGAAGTAGTAGTATATAAAGTATAAAAATATTGCAGTGTTAACTTTTACTATATTTCTATCATACTTCCCACTAACCACGTTTTTCCATAAGATACATGCTCTGATTTCAATTCTGTAATTTCATTAAGTTAAAATTAATATTAGCATTTTAATTTGCCTTCTTGTTTGCACACTGGCATCACTGTTGACAGTTACATCTGTAGGAACAGCACTTGCTAGGTAACTGCAAAAAGTGGGATGACCTCGGGCTGAAAATAATGCTTCTCTAAAACAAAACAAAGAACCCCCACCTAACAGTGAAGCCTCAAGGTCTTAAGCACAAAGGAGAAGATTTATGATTTACCTCTTACAAGACAAGAATTAAAACCAACACCACTTCCAGATGCAGGGCTGCAAAAAAATTAAATTTAATGGCATACTTCATCTACGAAGGGAGGTGGGTTTGCCCTTTTTGTGACCCTCCCTATCCTGAGAGGAGTAAGCAAGACAAATACTGACAATAATCTGGACAAAGGTGAAGCTGTCTTTCAATAAACATGCTTTTCTCTCTGCTTTGCTGCTGTCTTAAGTGTAACAATAAATAAAAATACATTGAAGAATTCATGACCCAATGCAAAAATAATAGTTCAAAGGAATCACCGTGGCAGCAGGTAGCAGCAGGTTTACAGAGATTAAAATTCTGTGTCAGGTCAACTAGAAATAAACACTTCCCTATTACATCCAGAGACTTGCCAAGAGGGCCAGATGAACCCCAGAAACAGAGAGACCAGCTGGGTGGGTGTGGGTGTGCAAGCATCAGCAAAAAAGTCTTGCAGATTACTCCGGGAAAAAAATAAAATCAGCATAAGAAAAAAAAAAATTGAAAGTAAAGTGTTCCTTATATTTTTTTTTACGTGACAAAATGTATTATCCCAGATATATGCTGTAGGAGTCTTTCAAAGAAAGCAAGTATTATTCATTACCCTTTTCTCCCACTCATTGTTCAAAGACTCATTGCTTTGCTCACACATCTTCTTTAACTCCACAATCTGCTTCTCTTTTGCTTCTCTGATGACTTGTGACTCACGAACAAGGGTCTGAACTGTCAAAAATGGGAAAATAAACAACCATTCAAGAGATACCTTTGGGATTTCTCAGTGTTGGCAACAGATGCAATCAGATTACATCAGTTTTCCAACTGACCTGGCTTTCTCATGTTTTTTGGCTCTTAAAAATACATAATGCACGTGCTCCTTTAAAATTTAGCACTTAAATTCTGTGTCACTAAAATGTTACAAGGTGTTCTCTCTTCTCCACTTCATTTACAAAATATTTCATAGTCATTTTTCCTTACTGAAGCAGTAAAGATACATCAACAAAATTCTGTAACCTAAAGAAAACAGGCATTTTAAACCTGATCTTACGTGCACCCTTAGGAGGAAAGGTTCTTGTGAAGGTTGAATGCCCAAGATCTACAACAAAATTAAGTTCCCCAACTTAAACTGCAAGTGATTGCATCAAGAATTTACAGTCTGACAAATTTGGTGGAAAACAAAGCAGGTACATATTCACTTTTCAAAAGTGACTGATGATTTTCACTATCCAGCAAGAGTGTAGGTGACAAACACAACCAGTTACAGCTGAGTGCAACCACCAGCCCACCAACAGAAGCACCAGATCCCTTGCTAGACAATTTACTTTGCCAAGGAGCAGGAAATAATATACATGGAACTCTCCTTTTTTGTACATAGGTTACCAAACTTGTGTATTATTTTACACTGTGGTTTAGTTCATAGTGTAAATGGACTCCAAGGAATTCTGAAAGAAACTAACATTCAAAAACTGCTGACAAGCCACACTCAGGCCAAGTTTTGTACTTACGACATATTCAAGACTACTACTCATGTTTGAAATCTCCTGCCGCAATAGTCCTAAATAAATAACACACTGTGGTTTGATTAAAATGTACTGAATGCAAAAATAAATTAACCTTGTGCCAAAGATTCCAAAAAGTTTGCAATAAGTGGTCAAAATACTTCGATATCAAAGAAATTTTTCTTGGTGACTCTCATAAAACCTGTAAGTATTAAACATAAGATTACACTGACTCTTGGAAAAATTGGTTTGGAAACTGGACAGCAAAGACAACTGGACAAGCCTCTAAAAAATCTAAAGAAAAAATTAGGTCAAGACTTGCAAATGAAGAGGGAAGGGACATCTGCACCTAGAAGGAACACGTAAGCCCATAGCCACAAGAAAGATGCATTAGTATACCACCATGCAGAAAACAACAACTGTGAAGATAAAAATCACCTTTTTTCTCCAGTTTTCTAATTGTCTCCTCAGCTTCATTTTGTTTGTTTTTGTAGAGGGACTTCAATACCTCTATTTCATCATTCTTTCTATCCAAAATCTGTAGGGAAAATTCACAATACTTTAACAAAAGTCCAAAAACCTGAAACTACAACCAGTGCACAAAATAGTATACACTGATCTCTGTCAAAGGAGCTGCCTTCAAGAAGTGCTTAGGTCCTGAAGGACTAAGTGATTAAATCTAAGTAATTTTCACAGCTAAGACTGCCAAGTCGTAAACAAAGGATTGATTTAGATAAATGTGGGCAGTAGAGTAGATTGAAAGGAGTTTCATGTTTTAGGGGGGTCTTTTTGTTTTCTCTTAAACTTGGACAAATCCAATGTTGCTTTTGTTGAGTTTGGAAGTTTCACAGTGCTACTACTGCAAATAGAAGGATTTGTTTCCCTTTTCATGTTTATGTTCTTAATACAATTTAAAAGCATCTAAAATTCTCAGCAGGTTTAAGAAATACTTAAGTAATTGGTGAACTTCATTACACTCTTTTGTACTTCACCAATTGCAATTCTTTGCACGTATTCCAAGAAACAATGGGTTAGAATAGAGCAAGTATATGAGGTGTAACTACATCCACGTTTCTGTACATGCTGATTTTGGAGGAAAAAAAAAAAAAAAAGCTCGATATTTGCACACTTTGAGATAGTATTTTAATTTAAACTTCGTGTTTATCTTAAACATTAAAGTCACAGAAATTTTATAAGTGCCCCAAATCTCTCATCAAACAGAAGCTTTCATCTTAAAACAATATTACTCCATCTGCATTAAATGTTTTGTGTCTTTAAAGATTAATACGACACTATTTAACCTTTTCTAAAATATCCAACATTATTAAACAACTTCAAAAGATGGAATTCTAACATCAGTTAGAAAAGGATGACAACTCAGGGGATGAGAAAGCATTTAAACTATTTCTCATTCTCACAAAGCTGTTTCCTTTAGACTCTCAGCTTTGCTAGCTAGTTATGCTTGCAGACTTTGAGAACAGATGAGCCAAATATGCACCTGACCAAATATTAACATCCTTTCAGGAGGCTTTGATGTGTCATAGTGTTGTGTCAACTAACTTCCTCCAAGTCTGTGACTCAGTCTTAAGAAACAAAACAGAGGTACTCCGTAATGCAAAGCTTACAGTAGGATAAGTCACCACAATCCCAACGCTGAGCATTTAACTCCCATTACGTTCCTGGGATCAGAGTGCTTCAGAAGGCACTTAGTGCCTTGCAGAATTTGACCCCACATGTTTAAAACATGGTATTAAAAGTAACAGTATGGTCTTTGATAGTCTTTTTGTAATCTTCCCGAAAGTGGCGCTACGCAACGCAATAAAGACAAATCCAACTTAACCCAAAGGAAGTGTATCTGGTGTCACTTTATTGCTGTGAAGAATTAAAAGCCACGTACAGCTTTAACAATGCAATAACATAAATAACGAACTGTTTATTGACCAGCCTATGCTTTAAGATACAGTGTCAAAATGGAGACACGAGAACAAGCACTATTGCTGTATTAGTGGGAACACGTGCGATATACTTGATGCTTTTCCTACTGGTTTTTTTTGCATTTTGTCCATAAAAATTTACTTTAGTATTTTTGTTCACATTTTTCTATAATGTAACTGTTTTCTCTCTAAAAGAAAAATCATGAGTTTATGATTTCATCAGCATAGGGATCCATGGAAGCTGTTCAGCTGGTAAAATAAGTTGTCTTGTTCAAACAAACAAACAAATCACCTTGTATTTTCATCTACTTTCTGCAAGCGCTTTTCCCTTCCTAAGTTTATGTTATCATAGAATATTTTGCATTCCTGTCAGCTTATGCAAACTGTTACTTACAATCCTACTTTAAAGGAACATTAACTGCAATTGTGAAGAAATTAAAGTACAAATGCAAATTATTTATTGTAATCAGACTCTCTTATTTTGTTTTAGATACTGTCTTCGAAAAAAATGCAAACACTTCTTACCTTTTGAACATCAGTATCGTGCTTCTGCTGTAATTTAAGTTTTTCTTCATGAAATTTACCTTCTGCTATTTTCATTTTCATGTCCAGCTTTAAAAGCAAAATAGAACAGATATATAGCTTCATCAAAATAAAGAATAAATTACACTGATGACCTCTGCATAACTTTTAAATTAATCATTCATGCCTATGAGAAGACAATGGGAAGTCACTAACAAATAATTGCTATGAAAAAATCTATATTCAGTTTCTCAAATTTTTAATATTTATTGGATAAAACTGTTAGAAAAGATCTCAACGTAAATTATTTATTTAGAAAATGAATTTATAACATGTTTTAGTTGGCAATAAAACCAACTGCTACTGCCCAGAAAAAGCTATTGTCCTTTATTTAAATAAACACTTAAGAATGAAACTTTTAATATTTCTGTTAATATACCAAGTATGGTAAACTTGCTTTTATTCTTTAGGCAGGTGTTACATTTATACAAAGAATGTCCTTTGGCCCAGATGCATGTTTATTTTTGTTTGTTTTCTATTATTCAGAGATTTCACATTATAAACACATTTCCTTTTAAAGGTTACTTAGAATGGGATTAAGGATATTGCTGCTGAATTTGATTGCTAAAATACATTTCCTGCTTCTGCTTTTATTTGTCCCAAGTAGCGTACTTGAACCCCTTCGGCACAACAACACATTGCCACTTCTTACTTATAGTCCAAGTTTTCATCTTTAAAGTATTTTTAAATCTCTCGCATAGTTTCACTATGCCATTAAACACTGTCTTCAGGACTCTGCAAATATGATAGGTATCTTGTGTTTCTCAGAGTTTTCTAAAAAACAAAAGTGACACCTCGAGTTCAGATTCAGGCTATTCCACTTCCACATTTAATCGTTTCTACTGTTCAGAAAGCAAAGTGGACAGAAAAGCTTCCCCACAGGGACGGGTCCCAACGACCCCCATTACTTTAGAAAGGGCAGACCAAAATCCTTGGACTATGATTCCCAAAATCTCACCAGAAGACAACTGTAAGCTGTCTGTTGCCAACAGAAAAAAAAAAAATCTATTTGCCTTCTGGATGTTCTAAGAGCCCATAGTGCTGAGGTCTACCTGCCTTGGAGCTGGACACTGGACTCCCATCACCATCCAGCTATTTTCAGTTCTCCAATTTTTGTTTAGCTCAACTAAGAACCTGACTTTTAATACTCCCAACTGACAAACTCTGAATGAACCAACAAGCATTATTCATTCAGCTTTTATTTTTATTCCTTTGACTTATCAAAAGTAGTCATTCAAGCATGAATCTTTATCTAATATATACAAACAATAAACACACTAAAAATTAACTTCTTTTATATGATTACTTTGTGTTATATATTTCTGTTTATTGTGACTTGAAAACATCACTACATTACTGTGACTTAAAACATGAGCTACAAAAATCCTTTTTTTTTTTTTTTCCAGACTCCACATCCACTGATACCCAAAGTATACGCCTGCTTATTACACTGTATATAAGGAGGCTACCCATCTCCCAAGACTAAATAGGTACACAGTCTTATGCAAATCATCAGGGGAAAAAAAAGTTAGATTGACAACTAATCCAAGGAAAATAGACAGTATTCTCAGCTGTCAGCCATCTCTTTTATCATCCAAAAATAAGCATCACGATAAAAAACCATGTTCTATTCATGAAATATACACATATGTATATATGAAAAGAAATATATGTATATATCCCTCCAACAAAGTGACATTATAGAAGAAAAATCTTAGCCCCACGTGATAAATAAGTGTTGAATAAAAAAAAAAAAAGGCAGCACAGTAATCCAATTCCAGACAGACAGTCTATGGACATTCCATAAAAAAAAAAAAAAATGAAGGTCTTGTAAAAACACAAATACTAGAAACTAAACATGAAAGAGAGTCCAGTCTACTTGAATTACATTAAGAGCTTATGAATTACTGATGTATAGCTATTGCACTCATATAGCTATTAAATCTGCACAAACACATTACATTTAAAACTTATTAATAAAGTAAGAATGTCTTGGCTGATGTAAATTAATCCTTGGCAGTTTGCATCAGCTGAGATCTGGTCTACGTTTTATTATTCTGTAGGTTGAAAGAACATAAAAATAAATCAAACTCTAAAATTTGTCTTGTATTAAACATGGACATATATTTTTAAGGGATGGTGATTGTTCTCAGCCACAAGGCTGTTTTCCCACAGGTTGACAGTAGAAATCCCTGTACTTGAAATTGGCTCCCACTCCTTGTCATTAATCTTCCACTTAACACCATTCTTGCACTTGCACTAGTTCTCATCAATTTTAGTTCATTAATTCATTGCAGTACTTCCAGTAGAACAGGCATCCCTTAAAATTTCACAGATTTTGGGACTACTTGCCAAAAAGGAGAGCTAGTTGCAACCAAACAACAAATGTGAAAATTGCATCCAAGATACAGAAGGCAGCTCTTAATGAAGGCAAAGACTGTAATAACAAAATAGATTATTTTTAATACTCAAAGAAAAAGTAAAGTAAAAAAAAAAAAAACCCTCTTACTTGAAAAATCCCAAAGACTAACTTCTCATCAGCTGAGGGCTGAAAAGGAGATACCTTCAAAAGAACTCAGGGTCCTCAACTTTTATAAACCTATATGAAATTCTGAAGTTTCAGCACCCCAGACATTTTCCTGCCCTGTCTGCTTCATCCACAACTTACATAATTTTGTCCCTTCAGGACCTACTATATAAATAAATGTGACAAGCCCCATACTAAAGTGTTTGAAATTCAATAGCTGACGTGCACACGGAGTTTTCAGGTAGTCTTAAGAGGAAAGCTGTGTTTGTAATGAGTAACATGTAAAAAATAAAATAAAATAAAAAATCTCCAACAACATTTAAATTTTATAATGGTCCCTAGTTCCAAGATACACATGTATCTTCATCACAACTTCTGGAAGCGTTAATCTGAGCACTTGCTGTAAAAATAAAGATATATTGATTTAAAAATCCTACACTTACAATCCCTTCTGTGGAAAACCGCTGGAAGAGCCAGAAAGCATAACAACAACAAAACAGCATCATATAGCAAAGCTTGGAGTACTGGTTTCATTTATAAATCTGCTTTTTGACCCACCCTTTGTGTAAGGCAGACTTCCAATCTCACCACATATGTAGATAAAAAAAATTGAGTCATGTAAACACATGTTAAAAAGTGATCTCATTAAGGCTGGGGTTGAAGCAAATGGGCTCATCACTTCACAACTGGGAGTGAAACTTCTCCCCTTCCATTTCAAAGTTTAAACACGTTATTAAATACTAATTTCAATAAAGGAGTATCTTTCAAATTAAAACCATGCAAACTGAGTCAACCACATATCTGTAGTTACCAAATGTCAAACCTCATTTGCTAAGTTTGTCTCAATTTCCTGTGGAATAGTGCTTTGTAACTTTATGTGCTATGACTCTATTAAGTGCCCTTTGCACTTCAGCTTTACTTTATTTATTAAACACATATTGAGAAACAAAATAACCTACAACAGTATCAAAGACCTTCATAAGTTTTAGAGAAAATAGATAAAAACAACTTAGAAAAGTCATTCACCTTGTTAGAAGCAATTCACTGTGCTCATGCTCATCAGTTTTAATACCTTTTATTACCAGTTAAGAGGCAGCAGAGAACATTAAATTTATGGCATGTTACCATTCACACACAAAAAAAAAAAAGTGTAGATATTTAGCTATAGTTGAGAAGTTTGCAACTATGTATGAAATGCAGCCCTTGCTGTTGCCTGAACATCATTCCTTTGGATTTCTGTCATTGTTTATTCTCCTTACAGAGAGTATGAGGCAATTAAACCCTAAGGCCATGTAAACAATACTGATGTCAAACATCTGTGCTGTCCCTGTTATTTAAAGCCATGGAGGGTGGTATCAACAGAACTGCTTTTATGTGCCTAGTCACACTTTCTTCCTAATTAAAAAAACAAAAGACCACCAAAACCAGCAAATAGTTACCTGAAAATGGGGTTTCATCGTATCACTATCCTGTATTTTCATAGCACACGTTAGGTGCTATGGAAATTTAAATAACTGTCAAACTTAAACCGATAGAGTTTAATCTGCAACTGTCATAAGTCTTTGGGGGGGGGGGGGGGGGTATCTCAGTTTTTCATGACAGAAGACAAACATTCACCTTGTCATCATTTACAAAAATTTGTAGAAATGTTTAAATACTCGATTTAAAAGTAAATCAATAAGTAGACTAACAATATTAATCAGAGATAGCTCTGAACTACTGATCACTGTTCACTTGTCTTCATTACAGGGATAACCCTTAGGCCAGAAGTGGCATCCTGAAGGTTTAACATCCATCAGAGATTTTTTTTGGATATTTGACAAAACAGTACTTGTTGATTGCCAGATTTTTTCCAAGTCTATGAATATATGGGGGAGGGAGGGAGGAAGCGAGGAAGGGGGAGAAGGATGTAAACAATAAATGAGAACTTCAAAGTAAGAACTAACGATGTAGAACAATGACTTGTATATCTTACAATATACGACAAAACTTATTTGTCTTGGTGTTATGCAGCTGCTAAAAAAAAAATCAGTGCACAATACAAAGCTTTGATATTCTCACAGAAGAAAAAGCTTTCTTAAAAAAGTTTCTTAAAAAAAAAAACCAAAACAAACAACAAAACCAAACAACTAGAACTTTCTACCAAATCGTGTTTACTCAATTTTCACATCCAGGGTTAAAAAAATAAATCCTGATAATTTATACAGTGGTTTAAACTATACAGGCAGGCCAAGGCAGGAGATACTGTACTTGCAAAACATTCCAGATTTATTATACATAAAGACATGCTGACTTCAGACAAAAGTAATTTGGAATAGTGTATCTCACATCATAATTAACAAGGTATCTTTTTTCACTGTGTTATTACTGTATCTTATATTGTACCCTCAAAAGTTTTTAAGATCAGCTTTGAGGTATATTAATACTTGTAACATTTAGAGCAATTTAAGAGTCAGAATAACCACCTAAACACCTAAAAGAAAACCACTGGTGGTGAAAAAAA